TCTGTATAATGGGCTCCAGTTTCATCCATCTCATTAGAACTGATTCAAATGAATTCTTTTTAATGGCTGAGTAATATTCCATGGTGTATATGTACCACAGCTTCCTCATCCATTGGTCTGCTGATGGGCATCTAGGTTGCTTCCATGTCCTGGCTATTATAAACAGTGCTGCGATGAACATTGGGGTGCACGTGTCTCTTTCAGATCTGGTTTCCTTGGTGTGTATGCCCAGAAGTGGGATTGCTGGGTCATATGGCAGTTCTATTTCCAGCTTTTTAAGAAATCTCCACACTGTTTTCCATAGTGGCTGTACTAATTTGCATTCCCACCAACAGTGTAAGAGGGTTCCCTTTTCTCCACACCCTCTCCAGCATTTATTGCTTATAGACTTTTGGATAGCAGCCATCCTGACTGGTGTGTAATGGTACCTCATTGTGGTTTTGATTTGCATTTCTCTGATAATGAGTGATGTTGAGCATCTTTTCATGTGTTTGTTAGCCATCTGTATGTCTTCCTTGGAGAAATGTCTGTTCAGTTCTTTGGCCCATTTTTTGATTGGGTCATTTATTTTTCTGGAGTTGAGCTGGAGGAGTTGCTTGTATATTTTTGAGATTAATCCTTTGTCTGTTGCTTCGTTTGCTATTATTTTCTCCCAATCTGAGGGCTGTCTTTTCACCTTGCTTATAGTTTCCTTTGTTGTGCAAAAGCTTTTAAGTTTCATTAGGTCCCATTTGTTTATTTTTGCTTTTATTTCTAAAATTCTGGGATGTGGGTCATAGAGGATCCTGCTGTGATTTATGTCGGAGAGTGTTTTGCCTATGTTCTCCTCTAGGAGTTTTATAGTTTCTGGTCTTACATTTAGATCTTTAATCCATTTTGAGTTTATTTTTGTGTATGGTGTTAGAAAGTGTTCTAGTTTCATTCTTTTACAGGTGGTTGACCAGTTTTCCCAGCACCACTTGTTAAAGAGGTTGTCTTTTTTCCATTGTATATCCTTGCCTCCTTTGTCAAAGATAAGGTGACCATAGGTTCGTGGATTTATCTCTGGGCTTTCTATTCTGTTCCACTGATCTATATTTCTGTCTTTGTGCCAGTACCATACTGTCTTGATGACTGTGGCTTTGTAGTATAGTCTGAAGTCAGGCAGATTGATTCCTCCAGTTCCATTCTTCTTTCTCAGGATTACTTTGGCTATTCGAGGTTTTTTTGTATTTCCATACAAATTGTGAAATTATTCGTTCTAGTTCTGTGAAAAATACCGTTGTTAGTTTGATAGGGATTGCATTGAATCTGTAGATTGCTTTGGGTAGTATAGCCATTTTGACAATATTGATTCTTCCAATCCATGAACACTCACCTGGGGATTTTAGTGCAGGTGCTGATTCAGTGGTTCTGGGATGGGGCCTGGGATTCTGCATTTAAAGCAAGGCCCCTGTGATCTTGTTACCGCCAAGGACCACACTTTGAGTAGTGAGGGGTTACATGACATGAATCTGGTGTACACAGTACACTCCCTGATGTCTTAGTTTTGCATCCTTCCCCTTTGCTGTCCGGGGATGATGAGCTAAGCTCCTTTCTGAGCCTTTCCCATCATTTTACATGGGATCATAAATGCGGCTTACTGTGTGACTTCTCTTATTCCTCTTCTCTATCTGCCTTACTGAGTTCCCTCCTGGGAGTGAATGGGATCACGGCTCTTCAGTCCCTCCTCAATCCAGAGGGACCTTACCCCCTTCTCAGTTCATCCTGTCCCCTATGGTCCCCATACTTTGTAATCCAGCACTGGCTGATCCTCACGTTTTCCCACATTGCTTTTTCTTAAACTTTTTTTTTTTTTCCCGGCTGCACTGGGTCTTCACTGGGACATGTGAGCATCTCTAGTTGCAATGCAAGGGCTTAGCTGGCCTGTGGCACGTGGGATCTTAGTTCCCCAACCAGGGATCAAACTCTTGCCCCTTGCATTAGAAGGTGGATTCTTAACCACTGGACCACCAGAGAAGTCCCCCTTATGATGTTTTCTGAGACCCTGATATCCTGAAGCATCTCAGCCCAAACCTCTGAAGTTCTCATCTGGCCAGATGGAGTTATGGTGTCTGTGGGAAACAGAGAGCACAAAGTTCTTGAGGAACTTGGAAAAACTAGGGTTACTTGTGACCTTCAGGTAGAAGAGGTGACCTCTGCATTTCTAGCTGAGCCATAATTTAGCAAACTCCAAGAAGGCTATCTGAAGAGCTCTTCTAATAAAGCATTAGGGTTAGTCACTTGGTCAAATGATTCTAATTAAGTAAACTAATTAATTTTGTCTGTACTGGGTCTTTGTTGCTGTGTGCAAGCTTTCTTCAGCTGCAGCCAGTGGGGGCTACTTGTCATTGCAACACGAAGGCTTCTCACTGTGGCGGCTTCTCGCCTTGCTGAGCACAGGCTCTAGGCACACAGGGTTCAGTAGAAGGCTACTCCCTGTTGGGCTTAGTTGCCCTGGTGGTAGGTGGAATCTTACTGGACCAGGGGTCCAACCAAGCCCCCTGCATTGGCAGGCAAATTCTTATCCACTGGACCACCAGAGAAATCCCTATACTGCTGGTTTTTTTTTTTAAATTTATTTCTTTGACTTCGTCAGGCCTTAGTTCCCTGACCAGGGATCGAACCTGGGCCCCCTGCATTGGAGGTGCAGAGTCTTAGCAACTGGATCCCCAGTAAGTCCCTATGCTGCTATTTTAAAGCAGATGAATATTTAGGTATGTTAAAAACCAGCCCCTGGATTCAGACAGACTTGGGAGCAGCCTCCCTACAATCTGCCCTCCATTTACAGCAAAGGTGGGGGCAGGAAGTGACGCAGAGAAAACCTCTGCGCTACTTGAGCTGAGGACGCTGTCCTTTACCTACTGACTTTAAAAAAAGTTGAGGTTCCAGGGGAGAAACCTGTCAGGGTCAGGGACCACCGTGATTCTCTGAGGGGACAGGGACACTGAATCCTGTTTCCCTTTCTCTCGTTGTCATAGGACACTCATAGTCAGGCTGGTGACCCACATATTCAAGAACAGCAGGCCGCCTTACAGTGCTCTTCTGTCTTCCACTTGTTTCCTGTCCTTATTTTAAGAGTCCAGAAATACACAATATTATTGTATTGTGTGAATTTATGTCTTTATCTTAAAATTCCTTTTGCTTGAAGGCTTAGTTCAGTTCAGTTCAGTTGCTCAGTTGTGTCCCACTTTGCGACCCCACGGACTGCAGCACGCCAGGCTTCCCTGTCCATCACCAACTCCCAGAGCTTGCTTAAACTCATGCCCATCGAGTTTGTGATGCCATCCAACCATGTCATCCTCTGTTGTCCCCTTCTCCTCCTGCCCTCACTCCTTCCCAGCATCAAGGTCTTTCCAGTGAGTCAGTTCTTCACATCAGGTGACCACAGTTCAAAAGCATCAATTCTTTGGCTCTCAGCTTTCTTTATAGTCCAACTCTCACATCCATACATGACTCCTGGTCAAACCATAGCTTTGACTAGACGGACCTTTGTTGGCAAAGTAATGATGTCTCCACTTTTTAATGTGCTGTCTAGGTTGATCATAGCTTTTCTTCCAAGGATCAAATGTCTTTTAATTTCATGGCTGCAGTTACCATCGGCAGTGATTTTGGAGCCCAAGAAAATAAAGTCTGTCACTATTTCCATTGTTTTCCCATCTATTTGCCATGAAGTGATGGGACCAGATACCATGATCTTAGTTTTTTGAATGTTGAGTTTTAAGTCAACTTTTTCACTCTCCTCTTTCATCAAGAGGCTCTTTAGTTTTTTGCTTTCTGCCATAAGGGTAGTGTCATCTGCATCTGAGGTTATTTATATTTCTCCTGGCAATCCTGATTCCAGCTTGTGCTTCATCCAGCCCAGCATTTTGTACTCCTTTCTCAATTTTGAACCAGTCTGTTGTTCCACGCCCCGTTCTAACTGTTGCTTCTTGACCTGCATACAGACTTCTCAGGAGGCAGGTAAGGTGGTCGGGTATTCCCATCTCTCGAAGAATTTTCCACAGTTTGTTGTGATCCACACAGTCAAAGGCTTTGGCATAGTCAATAAAGCAGAAATAGATGTTTTTCTGGCACTCTCTTGCTTTCTTGATGATCCAAGGGATGTTGGCAATTTGATCTCTGGTTCCTCTGCCTTTTCTAAACCTAGCTTGAACACCTGGGAGTTCTGGAAGTTACTGTAGAAGCCTGTCTTGGAGAAATTTGAGCATTACTTTGCCATGTGAGATGAAGGCGTCGTATAATCTAATAAAAACAGTCTCGTCTTTTCCCACTTGGACTGGATGGCTGATGTGTGTGTATCAACACACTTTGGGCCCTGGCAATGTTCAGTCGCTAAGTCGTGTCGGACTCTTCCGCGACCCCGTGGATGCAGCACGGAAGGCTTCCCTGTTTTGGTAAGGCGCTGGTTAATCAGCCCCTTCCTCAATCTGCCTCCCACCCCTCAAGGCTGGACGGCTAGACTCCTGCTTAACCCGGCCAGGCAGCCACTGAGCTTCCCTTCGGGTCTCCAACCTACCGCGCCGTCTGCCTCCTTCTTCCTTCACGTTGCGCCCCAGCCTCCCCCAGAGTGGCCTCTCCCGGTCCCCTCCCACTCAGCTCTCCCGGCATAGCCTGTCTTCTCCCTCCATCACCTCCCTCCCCACAGGCTTCCCTCCCTCTGGTTCCGGCTGCCCTTTTCCCTCCATCAACACGTCCCTCCTCACCCTCCCCAGTCACCCCGCAGCCTCTTCCGGTCGGCGGGAGCGCGGGGCAGGCGGGAGGGCGTGGCCGGCGGGGGGGCGGGGCCGATGACAGGGCGGGGCCGGGCGCTTGCGCGTTCGGGCGCTCGGGAGGGGCCGGGGTCCCCAACCTACCGCGCCGTCCGGGGGCGGGGCGGGGGCGGGAGGGCCGCTCGGTGGGGGCGGGCCGTGCGCCTGGGCGGGCCGGCCGGTGGTGCGAGCGTCCGGGGCCGGCGCTTCGCCGCCGCCGGCCGGCCGGCCATGCTCATCACGCTGTGCTACCTGTACCTGTGGGCACGCTGGGGGCGCGGGCCGGCCGCGCTCGTGCGCGCCACGGTGCAGCGGCTGCGCGCCTCGCGCTGCTCCTTCACCTTCTGCAGCGCGGCCGCGCCTCCCCGGGGCGCCCGCGTGTGTCTGAGCCGCGGCGGCCGAGTCTTCTGTGTCGGCGAGAGCCAGGTGGGCGGGCGCTGGGCGCTGGGCGCTGGGGTGGGGGGCTGGGGGCAGGCCCGGTCGGGGGCGCGCGGCCGCGGCGCCGGCAGGGAGCCGGGAGCGCCCCCCAGCTCGGACCCCGCCATCGGCCCTGGTGCGTGCGGCCAGCGGGTTCCCTCCGCTTCGCCTGGAGGTCGCGAGAGGCCGTGGGGTCCCGGAAGGGCCAGCTGCGGGGCCTGCCCTACACGCGATGCCCTCGGGAGCCCGGAGTTTCGGGCCAGAGACCGGATCACCTGTCCACGCGGTGCCCGCGCGAGGGTCCGGACGCCTGGGTCTTGGCGGTGCGGAAGCGGCGTGTACCCGTGTACCTGTGCAGAGTCGATTAGCCCCCGAGCAGCTCCCACCTCGAATCCCTCCATCTTCTCTCGCCTAGCACTGGGCCGGAGGTGGGGTGAACCCGATTTCAGAGACGTACGGCAAAATCCTCAGCTTTCTGTCGCCTGTTGCCGTGGTGACAAAAAGTGCCCTACCCCCAGCTCCTGTCAGTTGCGTCATGTACCAATCGGGGCACCTACTCATTAATCTTTGCATCTTTTTGCTTTCGGTTTGCACGCAGTCCGGTCTCCTTGCCCGAATGCTTAGCCTGATGGCCACAAGTTCAGCCGGCCCTGTCACCCACAGGATGACCTGGGGCGGCCGTTCCTTTAATCTCTGCAGAACAATAGTTCTTTCCACTCAGCTATTGGAAGTGGGCTTGCGAGGGCAGTGCTGTGCAAATTTTCATGGACATCACCCACATTGCTGTCATTAACATTTAAAAGTGTTACGCTTTTAATGGTTTCTTGCTCTTTGCTCTTCCTTGTGAAAAGTTGGATCACTCTCGGCATTAAAATGAGTTTTTCTTTGTGTGTGTAAAAGCGTGAGGAAATTAAACTCTTATCCCAGGTTTGAACATTTTGTTGGGGTTATGCTTAGGTATGCCGTTGTACTTTGCTGCTACAAATAAAAAATACCCATTCTTGTTAATATACTATATAACAGAACATGAGTGATTCTAATATCGCCTAGATGTTCATTCATTACATTCAGTAGATTCCTGAGGGAAGGAAGGCATAATTCTTTTAAGGAATCCTGATTGAGAAAGATGATAAAATGAAAAATCCAAGGGTGGATTTTTCTGTTTGTTGTTAAGCTTCTAAGTCATGTCTGACTCTTTGCCACCGCTTGGACTGTAGCTGGCCAGGCTTTTCTGTCCATGGGATTTCCCAGGCAAGAATACTGGAGTGGGTTGCCCTCTTCTTGACCCAGGTATCAAACCTACGTCCCCTGCATTGCAGGCAGATACTTTACTGCTGAGCCAGCTGGGAAGCCCTTCTTTTATAGTAGTGGTTTCCAAACTGGATTCATTTACTTAAAAATTTAGAGTAGAAATTTTGAACATCCAAAAATAATGAGAAATGACATGCAAATGTCTTTAGTTTTCTTGGGAGACAGTTTTACTTTGCAAAACTCCGTGACTTTATTGGGCTTCTGTTAACTTTGATAACTGTTAACTAAGGCTTTTCAGCCCTTGCTTACTGCTCTAGCTGGGTTTAGGTGTACCTGGGTTAAACTGGTTTTGGGCTCTTGGTTTTTGTAACTTGTTGTCCCTCTTAGAGCTTTGCCCAGAAATCACTATGTCACAGAGATGTCCCCTAGTCCACACTAGATGTGACCAGTTAGCTCTGTATCCTCTTATAGACTTTAAGTTGCCTTTCAAATATGAAATTCAAATTCAAATATGAAATTCCAGTTTTTATCTTTTTTTTATTGTGATGTTTATTTTTTTCATTAAAAAATTATTTATTTTGGCTGTGCTGGGTCTTAGTTGCAGCACACGGGATCTTTGATCTTCTTTGTGGTATGTGGGATCCTTAGTTTCAGCATGTGGGATCTAGTTTCCATACCAGGGATGGAACCTGGGCCGCCTGCATTGGGAGTGCGGAGTCTTAGCCACTCGACTACAGGGGAAGTCCTCGTTTTTTTTTTTTTTTCATTTTTTAAAATTGAAGTATTAAAAAAAAAAATTGAAGTATAGGTGATATACAATGGTGTGTTAATTTCTCCTGTAAAGTAAAGTGATTCAGTTATATATATATATATAAATATATATGATATATTTATATAATAAATATATATGATATATTTATATAATAAATATATATATAAATATTCTTTTAAAAATTATTTTCCATTATGTCCAGTTTTTATCTTTTTCTCCCTAGAAATTGGGTCTGTGTAACTTAGCAGCTTGACCTGTAATAGTTATTCAATGTTTCACTGAATGAAGTAGTGGTTGTTGGGTTTAATTAAGCTCTTTTTGAAACCTGCAATTGGGAAGTTTGGCTATTTGTGGTTAGCTACTGTTATTTTAAGACTGAAAATACCGTGGGACTGATGATTTGGTTCAGTGGATACCTTATTGTCAGTCTCCCTGGGCCGAAGTAACTTTACAGAACTGAATCTTATGCCTTTGCGGTCTCCATATTTTATATACTTAAAATCAGATGCATAAGTACCATATGTGTATGTTTATGTAATCAAAGGTCCCGCAAGAATTAAGTATCACCAAAGATAGTTTATACAAACTGGAACTTTGAAGCTTTTTGTTTAATGTACATATTTTCTCTGGGTAAAGTGGACAATCTTTTAAATTATTTTGCTCTTTTTCAAAAGTTTTGCTTATTTTTGGCTGCACTGAGTCTTCATTGCTGTTTGGGCTTTCTACAGCTGCAGTGAGCGGGGGCTGTGCCTCAGATTCAGTGAGTGGGGGCCACTCTAGTTGCGGTGGCCTCTCTTGCTGCGTAGCATGGGTTCTAAGGTGTGTGGGCTTCAGTGGTTGTGGTGCACGGCTTGGTTGCCTCAAGGCATGTGGGATCTTCCCAGACCAGGGCTCAGACGCTTGTCCTCTGCATTGGCAGGTGGATTCCTAACCACTGGACCACCAGGCAAGTTCCTACAACCTGGCTTTTGTTTTTAACTATCATCAAATAATTACATTTACCCACAGAAGGAGTTATTCTGTCTCATTTTCATTCACTGATTGGTTCAACACATATTTATTAAGCTTCTGCTTTGTGCCAGGTTACTAGGCCCTGTGAAAATAACTTTCTCATCTTCCCATCAAGGGCAGGTTTGAACTGACAAGCAAGCCTATGGATCTTGACCCAAATGCCCTTTTTGGGGGTGGGTGATGATGGACAGGGAGGCGTGGCGTGCTGTGATTCATGGGGTTGCAAAGAGTCGGACACGACTGAGCGACTGAACTGAACTGAACTGATGATGAGAAGGCTCCCCTCTTGCAGCTTTAGCTTTCAGCTTTTTTCTGCTCTGGATGTGCCTTGTTTTAAAGCCTTTAAAATTTAATGTACAGTCTTTCTAGAGAGATTTCAAGGGGCAAGCAGAAGTCAGTGATCACAGCCGATCTGCTAACTGATCTTGATGCTGTCATGGGTGGAGGAGATGGAAGAACAGCTCTTTGGGCAACTGTCAGTAACAAGCTTCTGCTGACAGGCATGTGCTTCTGAGCCACCTCACCTTCAAATGTATTTCCAAATAGTAATTTGGAAAACTGCATGTTCTCAGCAGTAAGAAATGGTGGGAATAAGCTTCAGAATTAATTGCTTGGATGAACCCTGGCCTCCTGCATTGCAGGCAGATTCTTTACCGACTGAGCTAACAGGAAAGCCCTAACAAGTAACAAAAGAAGTGAAAGCTGTCATGGGTCACTGGAGGATGTTGTTCATGTTGTTTAGTCGCTAAGTCGTGTCCAACTCTTTTGCGACCCCTTGGACTGTGGCCTGCCAGGCTCCTCTGTCCATAGGGTTTTGCAGCTATTTATATAGTCACAGCTCAACAACTGGGCTTCTCTAATAGCTCAGTTGGTAAAGAATCCACCTGCAATGCAGGAGACCCTGGTTCGATTTCTGGGTCAGGAAGATCCCCTGGAGAAGGGATAGGCTACCCACTCCAGTATTCTTGGGTTTCCCTTGTGACTCAGCTGGTAAAGAATCCACCTGCAATGTGGGAGACCTGGGTTCTATCCCTGGGTTCTATCCCTGGGTTGGGGAGATCCCCTGGAGAAGAGAAAGGCTACCCACTCCTGTATTATGGCTTGGAGAATCCCATGGACTGTGTAGTCCATGGGGTCGCAAAGAGTTGGACATGACTGAGCAACTTTCAGTTTCAGCTCAACAAAAAAATGTGAGTTAATGCAGTGTATAGGAGAGCATCGGATGGCCTTATGTAGATGCCACCTGGAATTACAGAGGTGAGGATGTCCTAGATGTTAATATAAGGGACAGTTGTTTTTGAAGTCATGTTGAAGCCTCTATTGAACTGTGTCTCTTTCCCTCCATCCAGTCCATTGATGACTTAAACAAATGGGCCCTGTTCCTGGTTTCTCCTTTTATACTTGAAGCAGAGCACATCGCATTTGTGACAGAGAGCATTTGGGTGCAAGGTGAGAATTTACAGAGACCGGCATCCTCTTCGGAAACTGTGAGTACCGTGTTTGTCCTTTGTCGACCATTACCAAAACTAAGTTTGTTATTTTACACGAGTGCTCTTTCTTGGCTTTCGTGATTTGCTTTCTTTTTGGATATTTTGGGTTGAAAGTGAAAGTGTTAGTCGCTCAGTCGTATCTGACTCTTTGTGACCCCATGGGCTGTAGCCCACCAGGCTCCTCTGTCCCTGGAATTCTCTAGGCAAGAATACTGGAATGGGTTGCCATTTCCTTCTCCAGGGGATCTTCCCAATCCAGGGGTCAAACCTGGGTCTCCTGCATTGCAGGCAGATTCTTTACCAACTGAGCTATCAGGGAAGCCCCATTTTCGGTTAGATAAAAATATATTAGTAGGGACCCTGCTGGTCCAGTGGTTTGGACCCAGTGCTTTTTGCTGGGGCCCAGGTTGGATCCCTGGTTAGGGAACTAAGAATCTGTGCAGCCAAATACATATATATCCAAATACATCTATCTATCTATCTATCTATCTGAGTTTTGGGACTTCCCAGGTGGTTCAGTGGTTAAGACCCCATGCTTCTACTGTAGGGGGCACTGAGGTCCCTAGTTGGGGAACTAAAATCGTACATGCTTCATGGTACAGCCAAAAAAAAAAAGTGCTACTTGTGTTTACGCTGTGTTCTGGTGTGTCGTATGTTACTGGGCAGCAACGCTGAGGTCTCTCCCTAGAGCATCCAGTCCAGCCCCACAGCTTCTTGCTGCCAAAATCAGTTGATTTCTACCACTGTGTGCTGGACATCTCACCCTCAGTATTCTGAAGGCACTTCAAACTCAGTAACGTGCCCCAAACTGGTGGTTTGTATTTCTCTCCTGGGAAAAAAAGAGAATCTCAGATGAACACCCCAGCCTGTGGGTCCTTTCCCCTCCTCCTGCCTCCTTCCTGCCATTCAGTGACCAGTTCTGCTAATTTCTTTCTTTCTTTCTTTTCTTTCGGCTAAATCCACTCCCCGCGTGTCCCAGCTTTTACTCCTTCCCTTCCATTCCTCCTCATTGCATCCTCCTCTTCATTGTCTTTTTGTTGAATCTGAAAATGACATCATCGTATCGCGGGGCTCCTTTGTGGGTTTTCCTCAGGATGGCCTGCCATCTTTCTGGACACACACCCAGTGGGGATGCCCTCTGGTGTACGCTCTCAATGGATGCCTTCTCCCGGGGGCTGTCACCTCTCAGGCTTGTGGATGCCTGCCCCTAACTCCTTAACCCCCCAGTCCCCACCCCTTTATAGGCTGCTTCTGCTGGTGTCTGGGGTGAATCCTTTCTGCTCTCACTCACCCATCCTATGCTTCCTGCCTGTGGCGTGAACGATCCAGGAGGCATTTTGCTGAAGACAGCCATGGCCACTGGACCTCCATCTCACACCACTGTCTTGAAGACATTGTGTTGGGATGAATGAAAAGGAAGAAATAAGACTGGAAATAGACTAGACTTGACTAGAACTCAAGGTGGATGGAAGTAAGAGTTAGGAGATAGGAAAAAGTAAAGGAAAGCAGGAATCTCACCTCTATTTGGGGCTCAGGAGGGATTTAGAGTTTTGCAGGTGGTCTGACAGTAACCTAGTGTGCTAGGGCATGACATTTTTCTCCTGCCAGTTCCTATTGCTGCTGCTAAGTCACTTGAATCATGTCCGACTCTGTGCGATCCCATAGACGGCAGTCCAACAGGCTCCCCCGTCCCTGGGATTCTCCAGGCAAGAATACTGGAGTGGGTTTGCCATTTCCTTCTGCCAGTTCCTACTGTTTATTAAACTCTATATACACTTACAATAATAATCATACCATTTATTGAGCCCCTGCTCGGTGTTTTATATATATTACCTCTAGTACTTACAATTTTATAAGATATTATGATCATTTTGAAAGAGAAGAAAATTGAGGTTATATGATTAAAGGTTAAAGTTTTGTTTTTTGATGTGAACCATTTTTAGAGTCTTTATTGAATGTGTTGTAATATTGCTTCTGTTTCATGTTTTGATCTCTTGGCCCCAAGGGATATGGGATCTTAGTCCCCGTCCAGGGATAGAACCTGCCCTCCTGCATTGAAAGGCGAAGTCTTAACTACTGGACCACTAGGGAAGTCCCTGCAGTTTTCTTATGTATTCTAATGTTGTATATATCTAGTAAGATTTCAACTTAAAATCTGTGCCAACATTTCTAAAATATTGCAACTATGTAAAATATCAAATATGCACAGATTCCTTTTCTAACATAAAATTGTGACTGCTCTGCTCTCATTTTCCCGAATCATTGTTGCCTAGTGTGTATCTCTATCCACGTAGCACCTTAAGGAATGTGGTTACTGTATTACATAAGGTGTGAAAGTCACAAAGGTTGCTGTGCAAGTCGCTCAGTCGTGTCCGACTCTTTGCCACCCCAGGGACTGTAGCCCACCAGACTCCTCTGTCCATGGGATTCTCCAGGCAAGAACACTGGAGTGGGTTGCCATGCCCTCCTCCAGGGGACCTTCCCGACCCAGGGATCGAACCCAGGTCTCCCACATCACAGGCAGAGTCTTTACTGAGCCGTCAGGGGAGCCCAAGGTCCAAGCTGCACTGTGGTAACAAGTGATGCCCAGCCTGCATCTGAGGGAGAAGGTCCTGCTCTGGAAGGCCACCCGGGGACCCAGCCCCTCTCTGCCCTGTTGCTAGGCTGCCTCCCTCTGCCACCCTCCGGTGGAGGCTGGGCTCCACCTACCCCACCCCACCCCCTCGCCTGACCCACATTGCAGCCCTCAGAATAGGGAAAGACAGGGAAGGTGGGGACCAACGTGCTTCCTCTTTGAGGCTGTGACCCAGGAGCTCCCCATCACTGTCGCTTCTCTCAGCTGCAGGGAGGTGGAGAACTGCAGTCCGTAGCTGGGCAGCCGTGGATTCCGTGAAGACCTGGAGTTCTGTTACTACAAGGGAGAGAGAAAGACTAGGTGTTGGGAGATGATGAACATTTCTGCCGCAGCGCTCTCATTTCGGTTACCTTCTAAGGGCGATTTAAGATCTCTCCTCGGGGCTGTTACTTAATGCTTTTTCTTTTTTTAAATCACCTGTGCTGTGTTTAAGTCACTCAGTCGTGACCGACTCTTCATGACCCCGTGGACTGTGGCCTGCCAGGCTCCTCAGTCCATGGGGATTCTCCAGGCAAGAATACTCGAGTGGGTTGTCACGCGCTCCTCCTCAAATCACCTACAGAGCTTTTACAATTTTTAAATAAATTATATACTTTTGGCTGTGTTTGAGCTTTTCTCTAGTTGGGGCGAGTGGCGGCTATTTCCTAGCCGCGGTTGGGGGGGTGGCCGGGGGTGAGGGCTCCTCATTGAGGTGGCTTCTCTTGTTATGGACCGTGGGTTCCAGGGTGCTTGGGCTCAGTAGTTGTGGGGTGCATGGGCTTAGTTGCCCTGCAGCATGTGGGATCTTAGTTCCCAGACCAAGAATCGAGCTTGTGCCCTCTGCATTGGCAGGTGGATTCTTAACTACTGGACCACCAACACTAGAATGTCCCGGTGGTTACTTAATTCTGGGGGCAAAAGGATGCCTGTCCACCAGAGGTACTCTCCGGTTAAGTCATCTTATTTGTGATCAGAGAGTTTAGTGGATTTTGCAACCAGGAGCTAGAGCTGTCTAGAGCCATATTTTGGAGCACCATGGCTATTTGTTACACAGATGACCCAAGAGTCGACAACCCAAAGAACTTACACAGCTCTGTTTTGTAAACTGGGCTTCAGATCTTAAAAAGGAGTTGATTTCACAGGTCTCTGTCTTCTAAGTCTGCTGTTCCCATTCAGGTGTATTGCTCAATGGGATTTTACAGCTTGGGGGTGTTCATTAGTCTATGTATTTCACCTAAGTCTCAAGTCATTTGAATTTGATAGGATCCTAAGATATTTAATAGCAAATATGTTATTGAGGAAAGACTGTTGAACTTGATAAAATCCTTTCCCATTTTTAGGACAGTACCGCTCCTTCAGCTATTGAAAATGCCATCTTTTCGGATTTTGAATATCTCCTTTGTGGTCCTTCTGCAGACCCCCCCTGCCCGCCGACAACAAATAAATGAATTTCAGGAATTCAGTTTAAAAACTGTAGCATTCACACATTCATATTTTCACTTAGTCATTCTTTCACTAAGATATTTATTGAACAGTAGTCCTAGTTATTTTGTAGGTGCCATAAGAGATACCAATGGGTCATGGCAGATTCAGCTCAATTTTCAGGGTCTTCTGTACTTATATTATCAGTCCTGTTTAGTACAAGTCGATGACCCAAAGAACTTACACAGTTTTTTTGTTGCAAAAAATTCACTCATGTTCTTTGCATTCTATAAAGGCCTTCATCCATCCATCCATCCGTTCATCCAAGGGCTACTGAGTGCCTGTTACGTGCCAGATTATATTCTAGGGCTGGATGTATGTCATTTGAAGATGAAGGGCATATTCAGAGGGACTTCCCTGGTGACCCAGTGGTTAAGACTTGCCTTGCAATGCAGGGAGTGTGGATTGAGTCCCTGGTCTGGGAGCTAAGATCCCCTATGCCTTGTGGCCAAAAAACCAAAATGTAAAACAGAAGCAATATTGTAACAAATTCAATAAAGAGTTAAAGGAAAATAATGGATTCAGTGATGACAGTCACAGTCATCTTATGGATGGGGGAGAAGATAGCTAAGTAAATGAACGATTAAAGTCCATTGTGATAAGTGCTCTGGGAAAGCAAGTGTGGGGGAGATGGTGAACCCATCCAAATGGGGTGATGTCGGGAAGGACTTTCAGGGTGGGGGCAACAGCTGAGGTTTTAAGGCAAAATAGGAATTAGGTGAAGAAGGAGGAAAGGGCTTCCTAGGCAGGTGCAGAAGCACTCAGAGCGTTTGTACCTGGGACAATTGGAGTGTAATTAAAGCAATTTTAAAATTTGCTTTTGGCTGCATTGGCTGTTCATTGCAGTGTGTTAGCTTAGTTGCTTCACGGCACAAAATGAAGTGAAAGTCGCTCAGTCGTG